CTTGATTCCTTCTCCAAAATCGCACAAAAACCTCCAAGTCCGAAGTGAAAATGTTGAGTTATTTCTAAAATTCGCGAAGATGGAATTAATAACCTCAGAACAACATTTTTCGCTTCTGCGATAACTTTGTCGCTTCTGCGACACCGCTTTTTGCGGTTCTTATTCCGCTTCTGCGGTTCCTTCAATCTTGCCCAGGACCGCTTCTGCGGTCCACCACTCGCATAAGCGAGACCGCTTCTGCGGTCCGCATGTCCGCTTTTGCGGAAACTCCCCAGGCTCTTCCTTTCGCTTCTGCGGCTAACCCCTTCGCTTCTGCGTAACCGCTTCTGCGGTCCATTTCCGCAGAAGCGGAAATACCAGATATCAGATCCTTCAGCAGTCTTTAAACTCCAAATTTCATCCCGTTAGCCATCCGAAATCACCCCGAGGCCCCCGGGACCTCAACCAAAAATACCAAAACATCCTAACACATCATTCAAACTTGTTCCAATCATCAAAACACCTCAAACAACACTAAAACCATTGAATTACATCGAATTCGAGCCTAAGTTCTTCAAAAACTTCCGAAATGCACTTCCGATCAAAAACCCGACCAAACGACGTCCGAATGACCTGAAATTTTGCGCACACACCACAAATCACATAACGAAGCTACTGCAACTCTCGGAATTCCATTCCGACCCTCGGATCAAAATCTCACCCATCAACTGGAATTCGCCAAAATACTAACTTCGCCAATTCAAGCCTAATTCTACACCGGACTTCCAAAATAAATTCCGATCACGCTCCTAAGTCACAAATCATCCCCCGAAGCTAACGGAATCACCGGAAATCACATTCGAGCCCTCTAACTCAATAGTCAACATCCGGTTGACTTTTCCAAACCAAACCTTCCATAAAGACACTAAGTGTCTCATTTTCTACCAAAACCGATCCAAATCAACTCTAACACACCAAATACTGATAATGAAACATGATGAAGCATAAAATGGGGGAAACAGAGCGGTAACACATGAGACGACGGGTCGGGTCGTCACATAAACAGTACAGTAATAACTCTCATACCAAAATCTTCTTATGCTGCAACGGTGGAAGATTATAGGCCCATAGCATGCTGCAATATGGTATACAAGATAATTTCTAAGATGTTGTGTAATCGACTGAAACTGGTACTGCCAGACATCATTTCACAGAACCAAAGTGCCTTTGTGGCAGGTAGAACAATAGTGCAGAATATACTAATATGTCAAGACCTGGTCAGACTATACAACAGGAAACATACTACTAAAAGCTGCTTGATAAAGGTAGATTTAAAGAAAGCATATGACTCTATTGAATGGAATTTTGTAGAGGAAATGATGCACGCACTAAAATTCCTTGGAATGTTTATAAGGTGGATCATGGCATGCATAACCACAACCAATTATAGCATCAATTTGAATGGAGGATGTTATGGAAGCATAAAAGGGAATAGAGGACTAAGATAAGGGGACCCAATCTCACCCATATTATTTGTGATTTGTATGGAATACTTTACAAGATTAATGGGGCATGAAGCTAAACAGAAAGAATTCAGCTATCATACCAAATGTAAGGGATTGAAACTGACACATTTATGCTTTGCGGATGATATGATATTATTTAGCAAAGGAGAGTATGCCTCTGTAATGCTCATGCTAAGGGGTCTCAAGTCTTTCTCAAATGCATCAGGAATGACAGTGAATGCAAGTAACTCATATATCTTCTATGTAAACATGAATGGAAGGGATATAGAAGACATATATGAACTAACAGGGTACAAAAGAGGTAAATTACCTTTTGAATACCTAGGAGTACCTATATCCACAAAGAAATTGAATGCAGTAGACTGTGAAATGTTAATAGACAAGACTCTAGTAAGAATAAAGGATGGGGGTCCAGAAACCTATCATATGCAGGGAGAACTCAACTGGTGAACACTGTACTGCTACACTTGCATACTTATTGGGCATCTATATTCATCCTTCCAAAAAAGGTGATGAAAGAAATTGTAGCTATATGTAGAAACTACTTATGGGATGAAAAAGTTATCATGAACAAGCCTCCTCTGGTAGCATAGGATATAGTATGTAGACCAAAAGAAGAGGGGGATTAGGAATACAAGAATGCTTGGCATGGAATGAAGCAGCAGTGGCAAAGTATGTGTGGAATATTGAGCAAAAAAGTGACTCTTTATGGGTCAAATGGGTAAATCACATATACATAAAGGAGAAAGACTGGTGGCAATAAAATCCACCACAAGAATGTGCATGGTACTGGAAGAAGATATGTGACATCAAAATAATATTTGCAACTGGTATTGAACAACAAGGATGGAAGGGGCAGAACAAGAGATACACAGTGAGTGATGGATACAAATGGAGAAGAGGAACAGCAGCTAAATGGCAATATGCTAGATGGATTTGGATTAGATTAAATGTGCCAAAATATTGCTTTATAGGATGGTTGATCATGAGACAAAGATTGCTTACGAGAGATAGATTGCACATGATGGGAGTGAGCTAGGAGAAAACATGTCTATTGTGTGGAATGCATGATGAAACAGTTCAACATTTGTATTTTGAATGACAGTATTCCAGAAGAAGTATTGCAGAACTAGGCAGCTGGCTGGGAATAAAGATTAATCAACCAGACAAGCAGAACATTTGGCGAAAGATAGGAAGATGTATAAAAGGAAGAATCTGCTGGGGCTTTGTGACTTCAATCATTGCAGCAATTATGTATGGAATATGGTGAGCAAGAAATGAGCTCTATGGAATCAAGCAGTGCCAATGCCAACAAAGATGTGGGAGACTTTCTAAGAGGATAGTAAATACAGAATGCAGCTTATAGTTGATAATAGGAAGAATAGGAAAGAAAAAGAATGGATCAATCTTTTGCATAGATAGGATACTATAGAGCCGACCTACCTAGTAGGGATGCAAAAGGAGGATACAATTGGTGGTGAGCTAAATAAAATAGCTTATAGTTTTGGTAGGGATATAAATTTGTAAATATCTTTGTCAGGTG